CCTGGTGAGGACCTGAGAGAGGACTTCCACGGTGGCTACTCCCACGCTGTGGAGCTCCTTTCCATGGGAAGCCGGGCAGGTCCCCTCCCTCTGGCCTTCTGCCAGCAAGCAAAGACCTTTATTTTTAAGGCAGGTTTTTAGTAAGTAGCTAGCTGTCAAGGAAGGGGTTTTAAGCAGGAGAATCTAGTCTTCCATGATATGATTTTTTTTCTTGCTGTGCTTGCTCCCACCTAGAGGCAGGGAATGAAGAATTTAGTGAGCATTCTTCACGTCCCTCAAAATTTTGAATGAGAGCTTCAGCTGCACAGACTCTATGGCCAAAATCCTGTTGCACTGTTACACAAAAGACTTAACTTCTAGCATTGAATTGCCGCAAGGTTAGGACATTTCCGTAGGCATAATCTGTTCCGCATTGAATCTCATGACTCAACGTGCAACAGATAAAGGGCTACAAAGATTTCTTAGCAGCAATTTGTGGGTAAAAGTTACACCTTTTGTGTTAATGTGCAACAGGATTTTGCCCTGTATGTCTCTTTTAGCAAGAAGGCAAAATTAGTGCACATTGCTTTAGCGCAGAGTAATCCAGCTCGGAAGCAAGAGAGCAGCTGGAACCAGTTACAGCATAGGCTAGCGTAGCGTATCCATATTGCCTAAATAATGCATCTGTTAATAGCTGGGTCCTTAGCAGCAGCCATTTCTCGGCATTTGGAGATTGAGCGAACATGGAAAGACACTAACGCAACATGTTGAAATGGAAAGGGTTTCTGTTAATTGAATATGAAGCAGCTTCCTTAAGACAATGTTCAGATCAGATCGCAATGCCAGCCAATTGGCCCGCGCTTTTCTCAACCTTGTTTTCTGCTCCCGCTGTGGAACAGCTACCCTGTGGGATGTTTATAGCTTTCTGGAACTCTTCCTCTCCCGTTTACCGGGATTTAATCCCAACCCTTTGGCGCCTGGCTTTCTGTACCAGGGAACAAAGCAAAGAGAGGGAACCTAGCATTCCAGGAAATAATCGGAATTCTGCAGGATGCAAATCAGGCATTAAAAAAAAAGGGGGGGAGGGCATTTTTCTCCACCAAAGTATCTAGTAAGTAGATAGTTTAGGAGATTTATAATTTCAACAAAGCCACAGCAGTCTCTTCGTTCCTTCAGGACGTGAGCCAGAAAAATGTTTATTATCAGAGGAAGGCAGAAGCTGCAAGGCTGTAAAAAGCTATAACATAGTCGAGCCATCTGTTTATTGGTTTATGTGAGGAGACTGGGAGAAAGCCTATGCATGTCATGGTGTAAATGTGGATTTGCCTCCGTGCTGTTTGCGACTTCAGTTTGTGGCTGGGCATCTCCCGGCATGCGTATTTTCACAGGTAGGAGAAATATGGATTCTTGTTTAGTCCATGTGTTCAGATCTAGAATATAGATGTCCACTAAGACAGTGTTCCCAGTTAATAGTATGATCAACATCTAGAGACCCACTTCTGTGTGTGTGTGTGTGTGTGTTTTTTCCATTATTACTTGACACAACTTCCTAAAATGAGTCTAAATTAAGCCACACGGAATCAAATCAAAAGCCTTTAAGTCCAGCCTTTGGTTCCCCAGTTGTCCATGGGAAAATCCCAATGAGCAGCCGGCCCCTGATGACTTCATCCTCTGTGAATTCATCAAGCCTGCCTTGAAACGGCCCAAGTTGGCTTCCATTGCAACATCCTGTGGCAGTGAGTTCCACAGTTTAACCGTGTGCTGTAAGAGGAGGTACTCTTATTTCCATCTGTCCTGAATCTCACACCGGTCATTTTCATCAGATGACACACACCCCTCCCAGGTTCTAGAAGCTTTTTCCTGTCCCCCTTTTTTCCTCCACACCATACACAATTTCATGTATCTTTTTCATACTTCTACTGTTTATCTACAACACACAGGATACCCAGGGTGGTGTAGTGGATAGAGTCATGGACTCAGGAGACCTCGGTTCAATTCCCTGGCTCTGCAATGGAAACTCGCTGGGAGAGTGGAACTGGCAAAACACTCTTTAATGATGATGATGATGATGATCATCATCATCATCATCATCATCATCATCATCATCATCATCATCATCATCATCATCATCATCATCATCATCTTAATCACCATCCTTTTAGAACTTTTCCATTGCTATGTGCCATCAAGTTGCCTCCAACTCATGGCAACTCTATGAATAAGCCATCGCCCAAATGACCTGTCAGCTACCCTTCTCAGCTCCTGCAGACTCAACCTTGTGGTTTCCTTTAGGGAGCCAGTCCCTCTCGTGTTTGGTCTTCCTCTTTTCCTGCTGTCAAAATGACCTGTCAACTACCCTTCTCAGCTCCTGCAAACTCAACCCTGTGGTTTCCTTTAGGGAGCCAGTCCCTCTCGTGTTTGGTCTTCCTCTTTTCCTGCTGCCTTCACCTTTTCCTACCATTATTGTCTTTCCCAATGAATCCTGCCCTCTCACAATGAACTTAGAACTGCAGAACTTAAATACCGGACTTCCCTTGAAAATCCTATCAGGGTCACTATAAGTCACTTCTGACTTGATGGCACACAAGAATGACAACCCCGTTCATCTTATATCCTAATACCTGTGACTTAATTTCTTCTCATGCTGAAGATAAGGAATCTCCTTATCCTTGAAAATTCCTCATCCCGGTGTCTTGCTAGACAGAGTTTGGTGTTTATCCTTCCTATAATAATGAATTAATGATGCAATTTGATCTAAAATCAACATGGCTACAAAAGACTGCATTTTCATTTGTCAAATGTTGGGAGATACATAAATGTCTTCCCACTAGTTTGGAATGTTGTTTCTCACAACATCGTTTTAGACTTGGTGTATGTAGATTTCCTTCGTGTGCACTGGTGTGTCTGGTTGACTGTGGCAGGCAGCCATTGTCGGCTGCAAATTGCGTTATCCGGGTGTCTGTGGGATCTAATTTACCTGTCTCATTCAGGGGTATTCATCCAGATGGACCATCTGCATTCTCAGTGACTGGCAGAGATTTATCATCATTCATACCTGATTTGGGTTGTTTGTTGCATCCGTTGCATGCTAAGGATGGACCCAGGCCCTCTCTCATCAGTTATTCTGCACAAAGAGAATTTTGTGGCTTAAAAACTGAAAGATTTCCTGGTCTCAGAAAGTGTGTTTCCTACATTGAAGGTTAGCTGTGGGATAGGTGAAGTAAGGTAAAGGTTCCCCTTGACATTTTGTCCAGTCGTGTCTGACTCTAGGGTGCGGTGCGCATCCCCATTTCCAAGCCATAGAGCCAGCGTTTTTGTCAGAAGACAATCTTCCGTGGTCACATGGCCAGCACGACTAGATACAGAACGCTGTGACCTTCCCACCGAGGTGGTTCCTATTTATTTACTCACATTTTTACATGCTTTTGAACTGCTAGGTTGGCAAGAGCTGGGACAAGCGACGGGAGCTCGTATGGATTCGATCTTACGACTGTTGGTTCTGACCTTGCAGCACAGAGGCTTCTGTGGTTTAACCCCACAGCGCCACCACGTCCCTTAGGTGAAGTAATCCGGAGTAATTTTGTGGGGTCACGGTTAGAAGGTTTGCCAGGTTCAAGTCTCCTTGGGGTGAAAATATGAAAACTGGCCTCTTTAGATATGCCTCTTGTCTTTTAGTCCTGCCATCTTGCGACTTTGGAAAGCCTAACCAAAAACAAAAACAAAACACAAAAAAACCACACACCAAACAACCTTCAGCCACATTGAGATCGTTGTGTTGCATACTCTGGTCAGAGATTACTGGCAACAAACAGTCTTCCTTTCAAATAACCAAGCTTATTTTCGATACAGCTTCCAGCAAGTTTTCTAGGAAGCAGCATTCGGAGAGGGAACCTGTTGGATATATGGCAACCTCCCCATGATGGCTTTGAGAGGTATTGACTGGGAGGGACTTTCCTGGACTGGGGTGGATGTCTGTCCGCTCAGAAACAGCCAAATTGTTCCCTCTCGGCTGCAGAGCTCTTTTCCCGCCTTTTCCCTGTCAGGGTTTTCTCAGCAATGGAAAACCCTGTCAGGAGTAGACAATTAGAGTGAAGCATTTGGTCAGCTGTGTAACCCAGTCGCGAAAATAGTTGACCAGTTAAGCTCAGTCTATGCAACCAGTCAATACTTTTGTGTAGCAGTGTTTACACAATACATTCATTTTTATTTATGAAGAACTCGGAGTAAAAGGAAACGTTTTATTCTTCCTCATTACCTGAGTGAATGTATTGAGACAGTAACTGTCAGTTGAGGTAAACTAACAAATAAGGGGTGGTCTACTGAAGGAGCTTTGTAGTTCTATCTGTTCTGTTGTAGGTTCCTGACAGAAACATTTTATCTGCTGCACAATTGGAGGAAATTTTATCCTTATTTTAATTTAAGCCACACTCAAGTTCCTCAAAAACCCTGCCTATCTATTGCCTTTGCTTGGTCTAAAACTCCTAAAATTCATGCTAGCTTGAAGTACATTCCGAAAAGCATCATCACCAAATTTTGCAATTTCTCTGGAACATAGTTTAGAAATCATAAGGGAGGGAGGGAGGGAGGGAGGGAGACAGACAGACAGACAGACAGACAGACAGAC